TGTGTTTCAAAATCATGAAACTTACCAGAGTGGCATTTAATGCAGGTAACCTATAAAGTTTTTCAAATATTTTCAATTATGAGGAAGTTCAGCATCCATTTTAATGCATGTGTTTGCGGCTGCTGTATTATTTTCAAAAATAATAATAATAATAATATTCGACAAACATTTATTGTCGCACTTTTCATTTTTTTAACAACATATACCGAGTGTTCCAAATTCGAAGGGGACTAGTGGGATCTCGGAAAAAGTAAGGAATACGAAGTCGGCTAAACGGAAACAAAGTTTGATGCTTCATTTGAAAACCATTTCAAAATCTAGAAAATTCTAATTAGTAAGCTCCATATTTTATGTCAACAACACATGTAATATTTAATGGGTTTTCGAATATTATTGTGCTATATTATAGCTAAACTCCAGTCAGAGCAGTTTGGAAGTTACGTCACGTATAGTGACGTAATCAAAAATGATCCGTATGTCTCGGCTATATTGCTACCATTTCCAGCTGCGTTTCGATCTGAATTAATTCATTGGATTAAAGCGGATACTTTCGGATATGTAATTCTAAAAACTAAAATAAAATTCTATTTCGCAAGGCTTTTTACAATGTGGGCGTTACTCGTCGCGTTATAAATGATGGAACCCACTAGAAACGCTGTCATAAAAGGGTCATTTGCAAAAAATGCTAAGTACTTAGGTACATATTATTATTTTATTAAAACGAGGTAATGGCAACTTGGTTCAGTGGCGTATCAATTAGATAGGTATATTTTCGAAAAACTCCCAATGCTTCAACAACAAAAACAGCGAAAAATCATAACGCAAAATGTCAAGAAGCATAACAAAGACTAGTTATCATCGGAAAAAATATCTTCCTCCGAGATAACAACTGGGAGCTTATTAGATGAAACCATCGATTTTTCCCTTTCCCAAGCCTCAATTATCAGGCGGTCGGCGTACCTACAATGGTTCTTCCATTTTTGGGTAAAACCTGAAACAAATGATTGTGAATACTTCATCAATGGAATTATTATTAATCTTCTTGAGCAAGTACTTCAGTCTACAGATGCAGCACAGTACCAGATGTTACGCGATCTGACCCAATCATCTCTATCGCATTAAATATCCATTTTCTATCCATTTCAGTTTGTCTGAAAAGTGTTGCTGCAATAACGTATATACGTGCTCTTTAATTAAACTGTTTGATGCAACTTTGAGTACGTATTGGTCCAGCAAGTCCACAGTGATACGGTGCATTGTTCATTATTATTAATGAAGGTTCATTAAGATTGGCAACAGCTACTGACTGAACCGTCTTTTATAATCAAAAATGTATATGAGTTAGCTTTTACTCACAGCAAATTAGTATTGACGAAATGAAAGCTTCCGTTGGTACAAAATTAAAACTTTTGTCTTTGTTCATAGGTTAGGAAAAGTCTAGTTTTCCCAGAAAAAATAAATATAAATACTGCATTTTTCCAACAAAATTTCAACTTTTTTAATCCATCAATTAAAGAACCATGTAAAATATCAATACTATGTAAACTAATTTTACAGAGGTTATTATTTATCAAGTTCGAGCTTTCAATTGCCAATGATCATTTTAGTAAAAATGTTAATTTATCCAAATACGCCAGCAAATTAAAAAAATATATTTTTGTTATATTATACTTCCAAATCGACATATTCAGTTGACAGTAAATTGAAAAATAAAAAAATGTCAAAAATGTTTCATTCCTCTTTCGACGGTCAGCGTGGCAAATAAAAATTCACTTATGAAAATTTAAACCAGAACACACAGAAAGGTTCCCGGGTCTTCCCGTATAGTCATAAAATGAAGAAAAATTGGCAAACTTTGCTAAATAAAATTGTCTAAAATTTCTTTTTTTGTTCATAAGCATATAGATCTGAAAAAAATAGTCACCTTTAATTCACTGGAGAAAATAACTACAATCAGCATGTTCATGATCAAAACTGTTAGTTAGTTCTTCTTATGTATATTTAATTATACAGGGTGAATAAAAAGTCGCCCAACGGTCTCATTATGAATTTTATTATACGGGGGAGACTGGATCGAATGGTGGTATAAGTGAAATTTTTTTAATTAAAAAGTATATGTTTTTATTCCATTTTTGGATTTCCCTTAAGATTCTAAGTATTTTTCTTGCATGTCCAAATTCAACCGTTTTTGCGGGAATTACGAAAACCGAAAATAACTAATGATTTCACTAGTGAAGCAGAATTTAATTTGTTCACATTATTAAAGATTTAACAAATTCATAAACTTAAATAACAATAACAACTATTTGAAAACAAAGAAAATAGGTACTTATTTTAATGAATACCCAAGTTGACTTCATTTCGCTATTTTTTGTGTTTTGTTAAAAGTCAGACAAGGTGTTGGGTTTGCGGTTGGTACACATCTACGGGATTTAAATCTATTGAACGAGGTGGCCACTCGATAGTGCCTTTTTTGTATAATGGGGAGGTGCCACCATCTTGTTAAAACAATATGCACTTACCAATGACCTCGATTTACCCAGTTCTGCTGTTCGAATATAGCAAAACTAATTAGGAGATTATTTGCATCCTTAATAGGGTATAATATTTTTCACCGGTAAGAATGATTAGAGAATAAAGAAAGGCCTTACAATGTTTCCATCAATTATTCCAATCCATATTTCATTCTTTGAGGTTATTGATTATGTATGCGGAAATTCCACCGCAAATTCCATATAATGGCCTCAGATAATTCCTCAAGGAGATATAAGCCATGCTTATACTTATTTTTTGCACGTAATACATTAATCGCAAAAGACCAATGCGTACCAGCATTTGGACATTTTCACTACTGACAGTAGGTTTAGCAGTCAGATTCAAGCAAGCATAACAAAACATAACATTGCTTACGTTATTTATTTATTTATTTTTCTCTCCTAGCCTCGTGAGATTGGAATATAGGCGTTTACTTTTAGTTTTTATGAAGAAATGGACTCTGTTATTAAAATTAATAATAAATAAATAAAAATTCTTGCCGCTGATGACTAGAATTATTACCGGCAGCTAATTGTGTTGTTGAAGTTGATTATCTGTGGACGATAATAAAACATTTAGAACCTCTTCATCGTTCGTTTAAGTTTTTGATCTCCCTATCCTTATGCGGTCTCAATTGACTTCGTAAGTTAAGGTCTGTTTGAGTATACTGTAAGAAATAATTCACACACTTCATGATAGGAACGTTTTCTATCACCATAACCGACCGTCGTTAATATTTCAGTTAAACAATAATAATTCAATTATTGATTTATGTTAAACTTAATTTGACACACAAACAAATTAACCGAAACCAATACAAAAAAAAATAAATTAAATTGTCTCTCAAATCATGGCAGTCATGGTCCACCAGTTTTTAAATGTTAAATGTAAACGATTATTCGCCAAGTTTACCAAAGGTTAGTCAATAATTGCATCTTTTAGTTCTAGTTTATTTATTAAATCAGTAATTATTTTCGTTTTTTGTCATTCAGGCAATTAAATTTGGGTATAGGCCATACAGGCTGTCCAAATAGTATGCAAAAAATATATCTCGTTTATTATTTGTTTTAGAAATAATTGTTAAATAAAAAAGGAATAGATAAGACTGAAAGAAACAATTTAAAATTATTCGGACATACAAGGCGGTTAATAAATATGTGGGAGATCAAAATTATATTTTAAAACAACAGCATTGCATTGGTAGATAGTCCCTTTAACACTCGATGATCCAATGTAGGGTTTTCATGATCTAGACCAATTGTTTTCGGATTTATGGCCATTTATTCTTCAAAAATCCCCTGTTTTTAACACTGATATTATTGACGCCATTTCCGACAGCTGTAATTTTATTATGCTAACAATTTTATAACTTAATGCAGTCATTTATCCTATACTCGTCATAAAGTCGGAAAGATATTAATTTTCGTAAAAAAATAAAACAATGGAAGCCTGTGGAAGAAATGGCGTCAAAAATATAGGATATTAAAACGAGAGTATCTATCTATTAGTGTTATAATATACAAGGGGTTCCGTTTAAAAAATATATTAGTTTGGCTTTCCACATATATTTGAATACCCTGTATTACATAAAAATACTTGGAATATTAAGAACAATCCAAAAACGGGATTAAACATGCCCCTTTTCTTTAAATTGAGAAAGTTTTGTAGCTTGGGGATAAAATCAAAATTTCATCAATGTAAGCAAATTAATTCTCGCTGTTGCGAGACTTTTGACCAATCCTGTATAAAATACTCATTTTCTATAATAATTTTCTTGTTTCTACTATATTGAGAGTTCACTGGAAATAAATATAATATTTAGAATTTCGAAATCGTAAGTATTCCATTGTTGTTAAAAGAACTGGAAAATTACCTATACCGAAAAAAAAGATTGATTTGCTGATTCATTGATCTTTCAAAATTTTTAAATTATTCAACATATCTAAGAAACTTAAAGGATCTTCAATGCATTTTCTCAGAAATACAAAAATGAAATAACATTTTAATAAAGAAGGTTGGTTGCTCTGAGATACCTTGCAATTAAAATTGCCTTGCATTGATGTCCTGTAAACACTTTTATGCTTGGACAGTGCAACAGCGAGGCAAGTAAGTTGTTCGCTAAATGAAAAATTTATTACAATATTTACTTAATTGCTACAAGCTGATACATTCCAAATCATTGAACAATGTTTAATTAACATTACCAACCTAATAAAATACTAATACTAAATACGTTAATTTCGTACTTGTCTCACTGTTGCTTTGAGGAGACCATATGTGCAATAACGAATCTGCGTCCAATTCCGGTAAAGCTGAACTGGCGATCCATTCGATAATCGACCGGAAATTAAGCTGCTTGTGACGAAATGAGGTACTAAATATACTGTTAGCAACAATTTTAGCGTTGAACCATGACGGTTTTAAGTGATTTTCGACCCGAAATTATTACTGAAATTTAATTTCAGTTCCAATTCCCAATACTTCGTGTTGGAGTGCTTAGGACCGGGTGTGCCGACCGCAGCGCTTTACAAAACGGCGATGCCCAAACCTAAGCTGTTGATGTGGCTTCAAAATAACACTCGTCTTAGAGAGAAGATATCGAAAATGGCGGTGCCGCAAATCAAGACGTTTCCCGTACAAATTTCCGGGGGATATCACGCCCACGTCAGGTATGATCTATTTTCATATTCCCCGCTACAGCTGCGGGCACAATTTTAGAAAAAAATACCTCGTTGCCCACCGCTGCACACACTCAGGATTATAAAACTAGATTTATTTTTGTCGTGACAACAACAACAACGAAAATTAATGGTCTGGCTAAACCTTAATCTTAAAGAAAAAAACAAATAACAAAGCTCCGCACGTATTACATGCATAACTTTATAAATGTTGATTTTCAAAAAAAAAAAAACAATGATCAGTATTGATTTTATATCCGAAAAAACCAAACACAGGGTCCTCACCTGTTACAAATATAAATTTACAAATCTTAATGTTAAAGAAAAAAGAACAATCGAGAAAATCAAAAGCATTGATTTTATATCCATAGAATATTAAACAAGGCTCCGCACCTATTACAAATATTATATACATAATATAAACATTTATATTATATATTATATTTATAAATCTTAGTCTTTATTTTACATCGAAAAAAGGCCACACACAGCCCCCCCACCTACTATAAACATGTTTATACATTTTAATCTTAAATATAAAAGCAACAAAAGAAGAATTTAGAAGAATATTTACTGCATTAATTTTATATCCAAAGAAGACTACACAAAGGTCCCGGGCCTCTTACATATATAAATTTATAAATCTTGTATTATAAAAATGCATGCAGTATTTATTTCATAGCTAAAAACGAATTAACACAGTCTCCCTACATAACCCAGGAGAATATCAACAGCATTGATTTTATATCCAAAGAAGCCCAAATAAGGTTAGAAATAAAAATTTATAAATCTTAGTCTATGAGGAAAAAGATAAATAAACATGAATATCATTTTATTTTCAAACAAGACCAATCACAGACTCCGCATCTATGACAATATAAAAAAATGTGGAAAAAAATAAGATAGGCAAAGGCTACGCTACGCTACGCTGTTACATATATAAATTGAGGGCCAATTGCATATGTGAATTTATAAATCATAATCTTAAACAAAAGAAATCCAGAAGAATATCAACAACATTGATTTTATATCCTAACAAAAACTAAACAAAAGCTCCGCACCCATTATAAATATAATTTTTAAAATATTAATTTTAAAGAAAAAAATAAAAATAAAAGAATTCTGAAGAATATCAACAGCATCGATTTTATATCCGAAGATCAAACAAAGACTGTTACAATTGTAGGCATCCAAAAAAATATTTTACTCATTGCTACGTTATGTCGTTTTTCCTTGTCCTGTTTTCGAAATAAAAGGTCTTTAAGTTAAAACTAACGTAACCTTGTCATTGTGGACTTCAGTAGCTGATTGTTTCAAATGATTGTAACATCTTTCTCATTATAAATTTGTTTTTTATTATTTTATTTTTGTTGAATAATACCTAAAACAAAATTACTATGTTCAGTTAATTAAAACAAAAAAAATATGTAATTAACATTGAAGCATTCTACAAAAAAAAAGCAGGTCCGAATTTACAAATACAAAATATGGCAAGTTCTTAAAATAGCCTAATTTTCATTTTTCCCTCGTAACAGAGAAATTACAAGTGCTCTTTAAAAATTTCTTATACTATTTTCCATGTTCCAAAAAACTGTCACAGTAATGTGCGCACCGCATATTTGTATCTACAATAACAACGGAGTTTTATATTAGCACACATCTAAATTGGGACACCCTGCACGGGTGGTTTTTGCTAGGTAACTCACTTATTTTTTTATACAACTTTAGAGTTTTCAGAATTAGTATACAGGGTCGGGGTCATAAAGTTATGGGACCATACTTTATGATTTTAAGTGGGGCAGCATGTATATTTATAAACCATTAAATTTGTCTTTTTTAAAAGTTTCCAAAAAATATATATTATTATGTAGTTTCTCTTAGAAACAAGTAAATAAATGACAATTTTCCAAAATAAATGCTTACTTTAATAGAACCCCATGACTAACAATATTAAACAAGTTACTCGGGAGACTGGAATCTGTGGTGGAAGATCAACAAACTTACGTTTATAACCACTACTGCACCACAACTTTATTTAGAACACTGGACACGTGATCATTATCATCATCATCATGATATATCATCTGCCGATGATGCCAACTTGGTTGGCGAAACACGTGTCCAGTGTTCTAAATAAAGTTGTGGTGCAGTAGTGGTTATAAACGTAAGTTTGTTAATTGAAAGTTAGATATTGCTAATGAAGAATTTGAAATATCGTTTGAAGTTTTATACTAACAGTAAGTTTGCAATAACAGTTTTGTTTTGCTATGTTTGTTGGGACACAATCTTGCTCTAGGTAAACATAATTACGTTGAAATATTATAATAATTATTATAAATATAAATATTATAAATAATTATAATGAAACATTCTCCAGCAGTTCTGGAATAACTTCCTAGAGGTTTTTTAGATATCTACGTCCTGGCACACCTCATTCAAAAATTCTATAAAATATAGGTCTGCCCAAAATAAAACATGAGACTCCAACTGCAGAGCGTCTATCTTGTGCCCTTTAAAACATTAAATGCCGATTCTCACTACGCTAGTTCCTGGTATTGTGAATATTGAAAATATTTGAGAAAAAGCATTAGCAGTGCCCGGTGCTCTGCGCTATGTAAAATTTGTATGGATGATACTTACACTTCTTCAAGATCCTTTGACAGTCAGTTTTTGGCACACTCTGTCCTGAAATAAAAATTTGCTTTTAAAGGACCAAATATCTCATAAAACCGTTGGCTTCATTCAGAGTATCTAACAAGCCCAAACTTACAATGATAATAGAGATTTTCCGAAGGTACTTCCATTAAAAGAAATTGATAAGTATAACAATAATAATAATAATTATTAATAATAATAATAATAATAATAATAATTCTGGCAATCATGTCAGTGAATGTAACCGTGTTGTTTTGCAAAAATATATACAAAAACTAACGATCATAGAAAAAGTGAAGTATACAAGACGTTTGGTAGATTTTTTAAGTCATTCGTATATTAAACACTCGCTCCGCTCTTGCCAAATAAAGTCAAATATCGTTTACCGCACTTGTTGCATAATATACTATTTATTAGTAACCTTTTTTCCAAAATTACATTTCGTAAATGACCAAAGTGCTTCAATATGGCGAAGTCTTAACCACTAGAAGCGAGAGGAAAAGAAGTACACAGGATCGAGAATAGTGGGAAAAAAATAATTACTCGATTCATATTTTTACCCAGAAGGTTGAGGTTATTGTTTTAGTGTACTGTTTACTAAAATATTTTTAAAATTTTAGATTATAGACATAGATTCTCCTAAACAATGAAGTATGATATTTAGGAATTGAAAACACACTATCATTTCTTATATTGAATTTGCCTTCCATTTCCAACCAGCCCAATTCTTTTGTTTTGTCAGACACACGATCATATCTACGAAGCAAGCAAGCCTATAACAGCTATTCTAAATCCAGACACGGGTCGTAAATAAGACAGCAATAATTAAAATTTTAACACTAAGCTTTCGCACTAATCGCGTTGTAAATTTGTATTGAGAAAAAGTTTTAAGTTAATAGATGCATTTTGAAATAATTTCATAACATGTTCGCGAAACCTTAGCTGCGTTTCTGAAATGATTCCAAGATTTCTATCAGAATCCACACCATTTAAGGGACAATAATTAAATTTCAAAGATATTAGTTGTTTAGCTACAATTTATCGCTTTTTATCTCTGAGAATATTTTATATTTGTTTTTGTTTGTGGTCATAAACAATAACCATAGCCTACTATTAATTATGCATTAAATATATGTTTGAAAAGGTAAAAAACACAATTTATATGGCGGGTAAATATACAGAGCTGTTGTTATAAAAAATAAAGTAGGACCCGATACCTTTTGACCTGGCCCTGTATACCAATTCGATAGATTGATAGATAGATTAGATATCTTATAGCTAAAATACGAGAGGAATCTGAAATTGCAGTATTTTCAAGTCAGCTTTGTATTCTAAAAACTAAAACGGCAATGAAAATTTTGTTAATAACGCCAGTTCCACCAAAAACCGCAACTTTCTATGTATAAAAATAACAGAGTACCCAAAATTGTACATGTTATGTTTGGTAAAATCGCAAACGTTGGTTTTTCCGATTTATATTTAAATTAAAGCAATCTTTTCCAAATAGCAATTTTCCGTCCGTTCGTCATTTAAATAAATATTACGAGAGGTGCCTTTTATATTTCGGGATTTTCTTAAACTAGTTCTGCCATCTGGCGACTAACGTTTTTATAGGGAAGTTTGACATTTTGAGGTTAGGTTTACTCAGTTTGGTTTTGGCGAGAGAGTGTTGTTTGTTGTTTTGTGATAAATTAACGAAATTGTGACGGTTAAAAATAGAACTTAACAGGGAGCAGTTTCGTACAATAATATTTTACAACTTTAGACTAACTCAACAACATTGCATCGATGAACTTAATTCGACTTTTGGAGTTAAAACACCATCTAGAACTACTGTTTATTGCTGGTTTTCGTACTTCAGTCGTGGTCGTAGTTTCCTTAAGGATGAATTTCGTGAAGGTCGTCCAAAATCCGTTGTCCAAGAAAACATTGATGCAGTGCGGAAACTGATTTTACAGGATCGTCATGTGATTTACCATGAGATTCAGGTATCTTTGGGCATTAGTGGGACCAGCATACATACAAATTTGCATGAACATTTGGCGGCTAGAAAAATTTGTTCGGCAACCGGCGAAGACGAATCACTCTCCACGACGACAATGCTAGCTCTCACCGATCCGTGCAAACAAAGAAATTTTTGAGCATTAAAAACGTTGATTTTATGAGCCATCCACCATATAGTCTTGATTTAGCACCTAATGACTTTTTTTATTCCCCTACATTGAGAGTAAATTACGTGGGCAACGATTTTTGACACCAGAAGAAACGATTGATGCGTTTAAAAAGCATGTTTCAGACGTGCCCGACTCGATGTCGGAAAAGTGCTTTGATGATTTGTTTTATCGAATGCAAAAGTATATTGATGATTGGGGTGAATATTTTAAGAAACAATAAAATCGTATTTGTTGTTAGTTTATAGTTTTTTTATTACAAATCCAGAAATATAAGAGGTAAAGTCTGTTCATAGATATAAGAAAGTGACGAATAGCTTTTGAATTATCTAAGGGTGGTCATTACCATACAATGCAACAAGATTATTACCTAAAGTTTCGGAATTTAAATTCATGTAAAATTGTAGTCCGTAATATAAAATGATTTTATACTTACCTGTGTTTAATATTCTTTGGTTTGGTATACTGCTTAGTTTAAGTTTATTAGTAATCATTCTTATTTCGTATGTAATAAAACGGCCACATTGACGAAAATTTCAACATCAACTGTATGGAAAATTGTCAATAATCCCATTTCAGCGAGGAAAAAAAGAAGCGATGCTGACATTTTCTCGAGTGTAGATGAAAGTGATCAAGATATAATACGGCCTAAAATTTACCAATTATATGAGGAGCAAAGCGTGCCTAAATTAGGTATCCAAATTAGGAGGCTTGAAAAAGATGAAAGCAGAACTACCTTAACAATTAACAAGAGGTAAGTTTTAATGGAATCTTTTAGAATTCAGAAATGGCGACTGGAATATCTAGAAAAAATTAGGAATTACAGAGAACAACAAACGCCAATTATTTACTTGGATGAAACCTGGTTCGACACTTATGATACCCCGGAAGGATTGGGCTGACTTAACTGATAAGTGTAAAACAAACGCGCCATCAAAAAGAGGTAAAAGAATAATTATTTTGCATGCTGGCTCTAAAGGTGGTTGGATTCCAAATGGACTTTCTCTGTCTGCGAAAAATATTAAAGATTCTTCTGTGGATTACCATGAAGACACGATTTATTTGAAAGTTGCTTTAAAAACAAACTTGTTCCAAACATTTCTCCTAATAGCATCATTGTAATGGTCAATGCAAGTTATCACAGTAGACAGTTGACTAAAACCCCTTCCTCATGTGACACAAAAGCAACAATCCAAAACTACATGTACAATAACGACATTTATTTTCACGAAGATTATACCAAAAAGCAATTAAATGAGGTTTTACAAAGCTTGAACCTACAAAAGGAAAACGTCTGTGATAATTATTCAAAAAATCTAGGGCATACAGTTTTAAGGCCTTACCACTCTATATTTAATCCCATTGTTAAATAATAAAATAATATAGAACAAATAATAATTAGAACAGGCGACGATAGCGATAGTGATACTGATATATTATGTGAATAATTTTAAGTAATTTAAGTAGGTAATATAAATAATTTGTAATTTTATTTTAGATTTAAAAAAAATACATACATAAATAAATATTGTTTAGTATCTTTCCTAACAAAACCCTAAATAAATAAATTCTAAGCAAAGTACGGACCTGTTCGGCCATATTTCATTCTTACAGTTTGCCCAGGTCTTTCCTTAATTCGTATCGGTTAGTCTATATCTATATATAGTCTATATATAGTCTATAGTCTATCTATCTATATATAATAATATCTATGAACAGACTTTAGTCCTCGTATTATGTTGAAACTTACTACCGACGGCATACGCGACTGGAAACGAATGCTTTGACCCAGCTTTTTGAGAATAGGAAAATCTGAGACCGTTTGGTAAATAATAATTGCTGAGAACGTTTATTTTTTCTGCTGAAGGTTGCATCTGCCGCCTGGATTAAGGGAAGATGAAATAACGAGGTATCCCCTCGTAGTTCAGGTATACGGCGGTCCAGGAAGCCAATTAGTTACCGAACGATGGAGGATCGATTGGAACACGTATCTGGCAGGTTTGTAATTTAAAACGTTTTTTTTTTATTTTATCGCCAGCTCGTTTAACGTCCTAAATGACACTTACGTTTTTATTTGAAGTTAACGTTCCAGTTTCAAAAATAATTACAAAAAAACAAATCAAATTGAAATTGACCCGAAAACCAAGACAAAATATAAGTGAATTGAATTTTAGGGGTGTTTTTCCATACTGAATTAAATGTTAATAATAATTAATATTAAATTTAATAGTTTATTTTCAAAAATACGTCAATAAAAACTTTATGCCTGTGACTGACAACACAGGTCTATAGTGATTTTGATGTATGAAAGCTGTTTGCTTATTTCTATATATTTTTGGGGCCCTTTTTCCGAAAAACGCCATGTTTTTGCTCAAACACTTCATTTTTTTTATAGTGCTCTATAGATTAAAAACATCATTTTATTAATAAACATACCTATGACATGATTTTAAAATGAAGCTTGACTCTGCTAATCGACCAGTTCCTCATGGAGCAGATGTACCGATATCTACCGTCCCAGAAGAACTAGAAAACGCCATATCGTCAGAATCAGAGAAATCTAATCCCGACCCAGATGACTCAGTTTTCACACCATAAAACACCGAATAAAATGATTTAAGGAACTACCGCTAGTGTATTCCAGCAATATTCCTGCCCTAGTTTCAAAAATAAAAGAAGAATGGCGCCCGTTTATTGACTCATACCCATTGCACATTCGGTACATTTAAAAAAAGCGTATGAAAACTAGGAAAATAAACTCTACCAAGAACATCAGTGGATGCTTTGTGGTGGCCATAAAGTGCTGCGCATGTTCCTGAGATAACAGGAGGATTATACAAAATTTCCACGCTCTATTTGTGAGTGGGATAGTCGAGCAAGAGATAGACATTGAACTCAAATCGAATGGCTCTCTAGAACAAGCCTTACACCTGGCTGCAAAAATGAATTAAAAGATAACTTAGCTGACCCCAAAAAAGTTTTACGGCCTCCTCTTCATATCAAACTTGGCTCGATGAAGCAGTTTGTTAAAGCGCTAGACAATAATGGACAGTGTTTCCAATATTAGTTCGAGACATTTCAAGCCAAATCTGATGCCAAGATAAAATAAGGTTTTTTGTTGGGCGACATAAAAGAATATTATGCAAAACGCAATGACCAATGTAACTGATAAGTTTCTTGGGACCTCTAAGTATGAAAAAAATAGTATATATATATATATATATATATATATATATATATATATATATATATATATATATATATATATATATATATATATATATATATATATATATATATATATATATATCGTGCAGAATTTAAATTACAGGAATTACACCATTAAACTGACTATATTGTAAAGTAATTTATCAAATAAAAAAACCTCCAATAATTTTTCCAATAATGTCAAACAAAATATCGAAAATTACCGTGTTTGTGGATTCACTGCATGAAATTAGAAGGAAAGATCATATATTTCCTGACAGAATGACTTAAGACTACTTCTCAGTGCACATTGCAAAATTTTGAAAGTGATCGACGACAAAAAAGTCAACATGTTGTTTTTATTTTCCTTTGCATTCTGCGTCTAGCAAAGTATATCTTGACATCCTGGACTCACTGACACGATAAGTTTTTCTTCACCTTAAACATTTATCACATCAAATCGTTTTAGTCTCCTGTAGTGTATTGGTTTTTTTAGGTTTTACTTGCTTAGCTTCTTTTATTAAATTTCCGGAATTATGCTATTCATTTTTTATGAAAACTCTTTTTATCAGCCATTATAAGGATATTCCAATAATAACAAATTTTAACGATACCACAGACTACAACACCAACAAAAATTTTAGGTTAAGATTTGACAAACAAAATATGGCGACATCCATAATTTGTCAATATTGTCACTATAATAAAAATAATTCGGGCATTTAAAGTAACATATTTCAGATTCGTTTCTCTATACAGGGATCTCGGCACCTATTATACTTACAGCAAATGTTGAATGGGGAAAGCTTTAGAGAAAACTTAGTATATTTGATAGCCAACTTCAGATTTACACTCGGTTAATTGATTTTGAAGAATTCTCCAAAAAACGGCTAAATTGACAGCTGTCAAAATTTACCCCCCCTTGCATAATGTAAAACTAATTTCGATATTAAGAAATTCTGTTCGGGAGCTGTCTCGAAAATTTTAACGTCCTACTGGCACCAGTATCGCAATAATAAAAATTTAATTGATGCTATGTTTTGGGTGGAAAAATGAAAAAAACCATTATTTTCTCGAAAACCGCTGAAGACAGGTATATGAACCTATTATTCAAAAATAATCACAAAGTATTAGCGGATCGGAAAATCCAATAATCCACATAGTGTCCCATTTAAAATTCCATAGTTGATTACCATTTCGAAGAAGCGGCGACAAACCAATGTATCGTACGTTGAATTTATATTGATAACAATTTCATTGGCTGTAACTTTTTTGTTTTTAGAGATATCAAGGTAAACAAAAGAACAAAATGTAGGGTTAGTAGCCAAACTTTTTTCCAAATGACGTATAAAATAAACCACTATCAATTTTCTGGCACATAGGCCTACATCATATGTTTTTAATGGAACACCCTGTATATTATATATGTGTTGAATAGAATATCTTATTCTTATTACAATTTTATAATTTCAAAGTGCGCCACGACAGACTGCAACAACAATATTTAATTACAAATTAAATTAAAATGACAAGACGCACCAAAAAAAAATTCTGTAACTATTCTAAACACTGCTGTATGTGACCACCATTTTCCTGAACACTTTTCTCATACACTCTAATTCTAATAAATGTCTTGCATTTAATAACGTTTCCGGATTATCTCTGATGATTGCCTCTGAAATCCTTTGCCGAAGTTCGACGACATTATTGCAAGGAGTTCTGTGCACGTATTTTTTTATGTGCCCCTAAAAGAAACAATCCATTAAAGTCATCCATAGTTTCGCAGTTCCCTCAACCAACTCCTGGGTTTTTCCATGTTAAGAAAATTTTCAACTTGCACAACATTGTGAGGAGGGACCACTGTCTTGCTGCCATATAATCAGCGCTGATAAATTGAAGGGTAAACCTTCTATATATTGCTCTATTTGGTGCTCTAACAGTTGCAAATAATGATTTCCAGTTAAATTTTGATCTATAAATATCGGACGCAAAATATACCCATCTATGGCACCACACCATACATTAACTGATTGGTACCCCCGAACTTTTATCAGTCCATAAAATATAAAGCGTGTTACGTCATTGTAATATGGAATAAAATATTCTATTAAAGACATATTTAATATACAGGGTGTTCCACTTAAAAAACATTTGATGTAGGATTACATGTCTGAAAATTGATACTGTTTTGTTGGCTACTAACCCTACATTTTGCTTTTTTGTTTACCTTGATATCTCTGAAAACAATTAAAATGTAATCATGACAAATTGAACGCACGGTACAGTTCGCAGTAAACGGTTGAGGTACCATCAACCTTGAAACACCCCGTATATTCATTAAAAATCGCTATAACATAATTGTGGTGTATTCTAATAATAATGAAGTAGAAAAACGAACGTGAATAAAAGATCTCCGAAGCAAACAGCATTCCCCGAGGACGTTAATCTTACCCGGCGGATCTAAAAAACATCAATCGACAGGCACTTACTTCTATTAATTTTCGCTTGTTGTGTGACAAATTTCAGGGAACAGGGACATAATTATTGCCCAGATCGACGGACGTGGTTCGGGCGGGCAAGGTCATCAATTACTTCACAAAGTCTATTACAAGCTGGGATCGGTAGAGGTGGCGGACCAACTCGAAGTTACCGAGTAAGTTTGATCCCGGTCCGGTTGATTACTGAATTTGAACAGATCGGAACTGCGTTCGCTTTCAGATACTTGAGGGACACGCAGCATTTTATCGACAGGAGACGCGTAGCAGTGTGGGGATGGAGCTACGGCGGCTTCGTAGCTGCGTTAGCGCTTGCCAGTCCGAAAAGCGTTTTCCAATGTGCCATCGCAGTGGCGCCCGTGACAAATTGGAGACTGTACGGTAAGGGTATTATTTTGCATTGTTTTAGGACTAACCACAGAGGACGCGTAATTCTCTCGTAGAATTACCTTACTATACTTACTACTACTTACGAAACTATGAATGGTTTCTACGATAACCATGTAAGGTGGGAGAAAATAATTCCCGAGAGGAACAATGAATTTTCGACATACGAGAACTATTAAAAATAAGGTTACTGTAGTACTACTTACAAATCTTCTAGATTCCTCCTGCGTCCGTTGGTGTTGAATCGAACTTTGTAACGTTTCACCAATCATCCTGTTGGTTTTTTCAGAGATTAACTAAAACTGACTCGCATTCTGCTCTGCATCTACTCAAATATTATACTATATTGGTAAGATTCACAAATCAAGATTCTCCAGCAAACTATCTAGCCTCTATGTTGAAACCCTTTACAGGTAAAACTGATAATTTCATAAGCAATTCCTTTCACTTCGTCGTACAAATCAACACCATTGCATTAAATGAAAGGGATTGTCTGGTTAGTTTCGACGTAGGACTTACTAAGCTTACTAATCAAACTGGAATTTCTTCGATTTCTCTCAAGTATCTTGTCCCCCACTCCGAAATTCTTCTTGATTCCATCAAAAGTTGTCTCTCATTGATGGTTTTGCATTAAAAACCAATTCTTCGTACGAACGCACGCAAAATATTTCCAAACTACCTGCTACTATAAATACCGAAAAATGACAATAAAACCTTGATTAATGTTGTTGTGAGAATTTAAGTTTAATAATGGAGAGGTATTTAAATATAATTGATCCTTAAGCAATACATTTGAATGTCTCATTTTGTTAATCTCCATTGCTTCCAATAAATTTAATTTTCTACTTTTTGTGGCTGGATGTAAAATATCAAAATGATCGTCAAAAATATGTCTTTAAGTGTGTAGCAAGATTAGAATCTAGACTATTGTTTTTAAACGCTCTTTTATGTTCGTTAATGCGTTTCTTGAAGGATCTACTTGTTTGTTCAATATAAATTTTAGGATAAGATCCACGTGCAGATAAAGGGAAAACAGTCATAGCTATCGATCTCCCCGAATATTTTCTAAAAACCAATTATTTTCTTAAACCAGAACTTTTCCAATGTATCAAACACGATCCTACCGAGTTATATCAAAGACAAGTCAAGGAAGTATTCACTAACTCCACACTATTTAGTGACATAGACAAGTATTTTTTAAGAATTTTGAATCCACAACCGCCGAAATTATAATCTTTAGTTAAATTGCATAAACAAGATATGCCCATTAAACCAGTCGAGTCTTATGTAACAGCTCCAGCAGTCAAACGCTTAACAAAATTAGTAAATATTTTAAAGTTCCATACAGATTTTAAACCAAAATTTGCAATAAAAAAATCTTTTGAATTAATCAATAAAATTAAAGATATCAAAATCCCTTCCAGCGCAACACTATTGCCTTTTGATTTAGTGGATTTAACTCTCACTCGGAAACAGGTTAAACCATTGGTGGAACAAGATTTGTTAGATTGCTTAATAGTATCTTCAGACCAAAATTCAATGGACCGATTTACATTTCTAACGAAGGTTTGATTATGGGAAACCCACTTAGTCGTCTGTTAGCCGAGATTTTTATAGATAATTTGTAAAATATCATACTAGAACAGCCTTTAAGTAAAAGTTTTCTATGGAGTTATAGATACGTGGATGATGTCTTTGCTTGTTTTTTTGGAACGGACAGACAATTAAATTCTTTTTTAAATTACATTAACTCATTACATAATCGTATAAAATTCACTATCGAGATTGAACAGGATAACTCTATTAATTTTTCAGACATAACTATTACGAAAACACAAAACAAATTAGATTTTTCCATTTACCACACTTACACGGTCATACATAACAGCTCAAATCACCCTTATACACACAAAATGGCTGCATTTCACTCATTTATACACAGACTTCTTAATACGCCACTCTCAACAGAAAATTACAACAAAGAACTTAATATCATTAAACAAATGGCACTGAACAACAGCTACAATGCTTCCATTATCGCTAAAACTAGAAATAAAAAACAAATCTAGACAATAGTAAATTCTATTTATCCGAGACCTAATACAGAACACGAACAATTTAAAACAATTACATACATAGGAAAACCCAGTGAAAAAGTTTCAAAACATTTGTGATTTAAAAATAGCTTTCAGAACTAACAACACAATAGGAAAATTTTTAAAAAACAATAAAACGAAATGTTATAAATCTCAAAAACCAGGTGTTTGCAGGTTGAAATGCGGATCTTGTCCTACAATTTATATTGGACAAACAGGTAGATCCTTAAATTGGAAATCAGTTCAAGCTTTCTAATGTGTTTTTAACACAGAAGATCATAGATCATAGCACACCAATATGAATTAATATAACAGTTTAATCAAAGAAAGTTTCCAAACTCTTAGATACAACAGTCCGCACAGCACAGTTCTTGCCGGCTAACATCTTAAATACGGCCCTGGCTTGTGGTACACGTGCTGAAAAGAATGATCCCTTCCGTTTTACAACAGGCGGGTCTTAAACTCATTTCGAACTAACTACCAAAAAGGTTGTAGGAACGGTATATCATTCGGCGAACTTTAACAGCTCAAATTACCTAAAAAATGACTGCAAATGTCATTATCATTACCTTGCCACGAAATCTCCTTCCGCAACTTTCGAGATTCATTTCTAACCCGTACTACTCATCAAATCTAATTATTGCCGTTCCATGTATCTAGATTCGGCTTACACGGAACGGTACATGGGTTTACCGAACGTGACCGACAATTACAAGGGCTACGAGGAAGCGGACGTTAGCAAAAAAGCGGATCAGCTCAAGGACAAGATGTTCTATTTAATCCACGGCTCTGCAGACGATAACGTGCATCTGCAGCAAACGATGGCCCTCGTTAAAGCGTTGTCTGAGGCAGACACTCTGTTCAGACAGCAGGTGAGTATTATATCCCGAACGGATTCAACTGGTTTAGGCGTCTGATGGATGAAACTTGAACGACTAATGATCGCAGGTAGTCTTAACGGCTGCCGCTGCAATAATTTAATCCTTCCGTTGAAACATTTAATGGAAATTAATGTATTAAGTCCGATTAAATGAAATAATATATAAAAATAACTACAACAATTTCCCAAAAAAAAGGAACTCCTCAAATAAGCACTAGGAATAATAATAATTATTATTTTTATAAAGCACTTTATTGTTTGTAGTATGGCAGTGCCGGTTCTAAGACCCTTTTGAATGGCACGTGAATGTTCGGGTGTGTTCGTTCCTCATTTCGGACTTCGTTGTTTCGCCAGTTCTTGTTACTTTCGAAAATCGATGAAATCGAATTTTTCGAAAGTATGTGCTCTCGTATAAAAATTTTATATATCGCTAACGGTAAGCCCTACGCGTTCGCCGTTGGTACAGAAATGATCATCCTCTGTTTGTCTGTTCTCCGTTCTCCGTTCTCGTCTTTTGGTTTTTGCCAAATAACTTTCGAACCGTTGCAGCCACAAAATTGAGATTTGCCTCCTTTTTAATCCTCCACGAGGCACATAACCTTGTAAGAAATGGCCCTGATCCGACGCCGGTATCTATCTTTTTTTCGCGATTTTCCACTGTTGTATGGACCTTGATATGAAACACGATAAGTGTCCGAAATTTGAAGCAATCGACTTCATATTTGGCACATATATGCAGCTTTGTCCCATGACAGAACCTATTGAAAATGGGGGGGTCCGGGGGATCGGGAATGGTCAATGGTCAATAAAAAACACTATTTTTCAAAAACTGTTTACGAGACCAAAAAAATTCTTGAACCAGAAGAAGCAGAAGATACAGCTCTATATACTTTTATTCGTGACAATTTTTCAAAGATATACAAGGTGCGCCGGAAATTCAAACAAACTGAAAAATGGGTCCCTCTATCATTGAAAATTGGTTATAACTGAAAGACTATGATTCAGATCTCACTTTCTTTTATATTATGATATAGCCCGCATAGATGGCAAATACTTTTGTATTTAAGGTTTTCACCTACTGTACAGAGTGTTCCCGATATTCCGTGCTAAATGAGAAATGTGTTAGGTGTCCTAAATTTGCAGATATCAACTTCAAATTTAGCAGAGAAGTAAAAGTCCGGGTCCACATTTAAACAGCAGAAATTGGGCACAATCAAATATTACGAAGTATTTTTTAAATATATTAGAATTTTTTTTTTTGGACATTTTAGCTTCCAGAAAAATATGTTTTTCTCCATAATCGTTCATCCGATGGGCAAAATTCTTTAACCGGCAGACACAGAAGATCCAGTGCAAAAATGCTTATTTCAGGCATTTTTTCAGGCAGGGTTTTCAAATTATAGGCAAAAAGGTAAAAGACCTATAAAATTGTTTTTTTGCGGAGTTAATTATTAGCCGCAAATCGAAAAGCGTAAAATATATGGCAAATTGGTTCAAACGGTGTCATAGGCCGCATCAAGACCTACAATTTTTGTATTTGCAATTTTCGTCTATCAGATACGCTGTTCGGGATGTTTGAAAAAATCCATATTGAAATCTTTATTTCGGGCACTGTCAAGACGCGATGACGTCATTGATTATTGCGACGCACTGCATGGTTTCAGAAAAAACTTATTTTCTCGAAAACCATTTACTATTTTCAAAAAATGCTTGAAGCAGGAAGCGTGGAAAATCCAGGACTATAACATCTACTTCAAACAATGATTGTATCATATCCAGGGTATGTCGTTTATGGGCAAAAAAACTAAAATATCCTAAAAATTTCGGTGGGATAATTTGATTTGAACAGTATCGTAAAACGTGTCGTGAGAGAGTTTCAGATTTCGTCAATTATACGGGGCGCGAGATATTTGAAAAAAATATCATTCGACAACGCTATTAGATGTGCAAATTTTGATATTTACCGATGTTTGCTGTAACTTTGAAGTTCGACGAAATGTGAAGGACAATGCACAATTAAATTACATCCATTTTGCGAAGGTTCCATAGTGTTCTGCAGGAGCACGACAGAAAAACAATGAGTCCCTTTACCATACGAAATCTCGAAGTTCTTTCTTTTTATAATAAAAAGCTCCTTTGCGCTAGGCGCTACGAACTTGCCCCGCCCAGTGACGATTTTTCGAAAGCAATTTTATTATTACTCCATCAAACTGAACAATGATCAAACCGTGATTTATTCAATTGTGAAACCTGCGAATACAAACTAAAAGACGAAGAATTATATTCTACCTGTAATATAATTATTTCAACCTTATATAACGAACCCATTGTATATTAAGCTACATTAGTTAAGGTAAAATATGGTACAACATAATAAACAACGGTAATATAGTTGGTCATTCATATACAATGATAAAACGTGGGAAAATGCAGTAATTCAGTTTTATTAGAAGATATAATAGAAGTATAAAAGGCGATATTTATATTAGATTAGAAAATATCTCTTGTTCCCACGCATAGAGCTAGAATTTCATAATTGCAGTGCCCAGTGGGGTTCCTACAGCTTCTGCCGCATCGCACATTTCGACCGCCATTTATCTTTATTCCTCCATTTTCTCTGTACGTGCCCATACCACATAAGTTGTCTAGTTTCTATTCGGTCAGTGCTGGTATGTATTCTCCCTGTTCTTCTTCGTATTTCTTCATTCCTGACGTGTTCTGCTCCCGACACTTGGCATGCTCTTCTCAAGAAATCCAGTTCTACTGTGTCGATAACTTTCTTGTCGTTCTTCGTCATTTGCCAGCATTTTGCGCCGTATGATAAGATGGGTTCCACCACTGCTTCATATATTCTAATTTTCGTACATGGTTTAATATCGTCGGACCACAAGAACGAATTAAGCGCTTGAGTTGCTTTTCTTCCCTGCTGAGATCTGTTTTGAATGTCTGTTTTTGAACTACCTTGCTTAGTGCTTATAATTTGTAGCTCTTTTTATTTTTCTAATATATAGTTTCTAATATATAGTTCATCTTCGTGTTTTCCCCCTACTTTCATATATTCAGTCTTCTGCATATTAATATTCAATCCCCAATTCTCATGTGTTCTTTCAGTTTTCTGAGTATGTAACCTGCGTCGTCTTCATCACAAGCTATAATCACTTGATCGTCTGCAAAAAAGAGGCTCGTCAAATATTTTTCATCTAAATCTACCCCCATATTTGCAATTTTGCCCTCCACTCTCCTAGGGCTTCCTGAATACATATTTTGAATAGAGTAGGGGACATGCTACAGCCCTGTTTTAATCCTTTGTTCACTGAAAAACGGTTCGATCCATGTACTCCCATCTTGATTACACCCGTCGCATCTTTATATACGTTCCAGATGGCTCTCACATATACATTGTTGAGTCCGGTTGTCATTAATACTTCAAACATTATCTTCAAGGGTACCGTGTCGTATGCTTTTTCAAAATCTATAAATACTAAATGGGTAGTTAAGTTGTGGGCTCTACGTTTTTTCATTGCTTGTCGCACGACAAATATATTATCTATACAGGACCTCCCCGTTCGTAAACCGCTTTATTCTTCGTTTTCTCGGAAGTTGTCTTCTATTCTTCTTTTAAGTATTCGACCGTACAACCTCCCCACAGCTATTAACCGTTATGCCTCTGTAATTATGACACTTTTTATCTCCTATATAGGACTAATATATCCTAAATCCCAGTCCTCGGGTATTAGATATCCGTGTATACATTTATTGGGCATGTCTCCGGGAACAGCGGCTTTTTTATTTTTCGATTACTAAAATTAGCTTACATAAATAAATAAATATTGCTTAGTATCTTTCCTAACAGAACCCCAAATAATTAAATTCTAAAGTACGGACCTGTTAGGCCATATTTCATTCTCAGAGCTTGCCCGGGTCTTTCCTTAATTCGTATCAGTTAGTCACTTTCTTATATCTATAAACAGACTTTAACAGGTTCTCCCTCAATGCTTATTTCGTTAGGGGATCTTGTAGCATATTCACCCCTTTTTTCAGTCAGGAGTTCTTCATAGTATTCTTTCCATTTGTTAATTGACATAAATCGCAATTTGTTGGTCTGTTTTTCTGTGGTTTTTATTTTTTCCACTATTCATTTTCTGCCTCCCAAGTAAATATTTATCTCTTGACATTTCTTGTCCCACATCTGTCGTTATTTTAATTTATATTTATTTCGCTCGCTGGCGTACCATTAAATGCATTGAGAGCCAACCGATATTCTAGCGCAATTTTGAACGAACGATGCGCATCATCAAACAAAATCTATGCCGAGATAAAAATGCTTATATGGAACGTATAGGTACTTCGTACTTAATGATCTGAATTTATGAACAAATTCGACTTCGCCTCTCCACTTTCCTTTGTCGTCGCAATCATGTTCGTGGAATATTTTAAAGGGGAAACCACCGATAATGCCACCTAAAATCAGGATTTTACTTGGAAAGCTTCTCGTTCGTCTCCGAGTTTTTCGGCTCATGCAATGCCGGAGAAAGCTTTAGGTTTGATGCGAAACGAAAGCTCCGAAGGGAATGGAAGCGATTTTTGTGTTAATTATGTAGAGTGAACGGTTAAATATGGAACCATTTCATTTCAAAATCAGGTATTGGATTTTGAGGAAAATGATAACACAACTCTTACATATCAAGAAAACGAAACAACAATATTGCCATAGTCATTTGAATATAAAACTTTATTTATGGAGATTCGCAAACAAGAATTTTTTCAATGTGCATTTGAATTTACAAATACAGTAATGTTCGGATATAACGAACCAGAAAAATGTTCTGAATCTGGTTCATTATATCCGAGGTTATAAACGGTATACGAGGTGTGTTCAAAAAATAAGGTGAGTTTTAAGTTTTATCAAAATTAATGTTGTCCCATTGAAAGTAATCCCACCCTCCAGATATAATATACTTGTACTAACGTCTTTTCCAATCCTCGAGGTAG